GATATAATTTGCCATCAATACCCATAACTGTGCCGAAATTAGATTGGACCCTAGATGGAACAAGCGGGCTTACGAAAGCTTGACACCACCAACACAAATAGGCTTTGATACCAGTTATAAACTAAGATTAGACTAAGGTCACTCAATTGACTATAATGCATATAGGTCAAACCACACTAAAAGATTGAATCAACTAATTAGCTATTATATAAACCCATTATTATTTTATCAATGTGAGACTCTTAACAATGTAGTCCATACTTTTCAATTTTAACTACTTTGATCTTCGAATTGTTTAAAATTTCATCAATTAAACCCTTCTGAGGGACCAAAATGGTAATTTTTCTATTTTTAAAATTTTATCAATTTGATACTCAAAGGATTTAATTAATGAAATTTTAAACAATTAGATCGATGATCAAATTAGTTGAAATTAAAAATTAAGGAATACATTGACTGAAAAAACAAAATGATGATTTCCCCTAATATTTAATAACTTTAACTTTGTCTAATGAGCTATGAATAACTAAAGCCATGAGGCTTTGGGAATGATTATTCCAATTATAATCATGGGTTCGATAGGCCACCCAGAAATATCCAGAGACTCTTGCGCGAGGATCAATTAGGTCTCCTTGGAGTTCAGAGTGTTGTTAGGATCAGCTATTGATCATGGGTTTATCCCCCCTAGTGAGAAAAAAGAATTATCAATTCTATAAAATTCTATTCCATGGTTAATAATAAAATGAATCAAACAACAGAATAGACATATTTTATGGAGTACGTGCTATTCTATTTCTCATCTATTCTGCAAAGGTATTTGGTTGGATGGAAAATGTTTTCTTTGAATTTGAGGAAACTAGATTTTCCTTTGTTTGGTTAGGCGGAAAACATTTTCTATTGAAAAACATTTCCTATGAGCAAATCTACCATGGTTAGAAATGTCATCACTTATTACATATAGTTGAAGTCAAAATTTAAGAAAAAACAAAATTAAAATAACTGGTAATTATTGATAATGCCAAATTATACTCAAATTTGCATTACAATTTCATGAGGCGTTTGAGTTAATTAAATTGCACTATCTGAACCCAATTACGTTTTAATTGTAAATTATGTAGGGTAGGGGATAAGTCTAAAGTCCGAAAGAAGTATACAAATTGATACCAATTGCATATGAAGATTGAAGGACTTAATTGAAATGGTTTACGTAGTTTTGGGGGCTAAATTGCAAAAGATGAGAAATTTCGAACAGTAAAGTAACCTTGACCCAGTTATGAAACCCACGAACCCGACCAAGGACCCGTTTCCCTTTCCTTCTTTTCTGTAGCCAATTATATAGAAAAGCGTGGCTGTTAAAAGGGAAGCTTTAAGCTATTATCCACAGCATAAATGAGGAATTTCATAGAAGAAAAAGGGGAGAATATGAAGAAAAGATTGAGAAATTGTATTGAAATTCCAAGAGTACGTAACAATATTTGGGTTCCTAGCAAAGATAAATTAAATAAGCAAAAACACAAATATTTATGTAGAATCGAACTTACTACGTACGTGAGAACAAGGATGAAATTGATGAGGTCAAAACTCAAGATTCCACTAAAAATAAAATCTTTGAATTGGTTTGATCACCACAAATAGCACCAATGTTAGATTTCATGACTTATGATTTGTGAAGTTGATAGCTGGCCAACACGATGGATCAGAAATCAAGAAGATAGCTAGGGTAAAATAAGAATCACTACAACAAATTATTATTGTTGTGAGTAAAAATAATTTCGAACCCCTTACTAACCCATTTTAAGGTATTCATACAAGTATACAACTGTACTCAAACCTAATTATGATACTCGGCTTAAATTAGAAAAATAAATTGCCCAAATCATGCGCATTAATTATAAATTGATTGCCTGTAGAAAATAGGAAATTAAAATAATCTCTCAAATTTGGAAACAAATCAGCCCAGTTGTCCGTTCAAAGAATAGGTGAGCGCATCCAAGAATCACAGGGTGAAATGGAGCGTTATGTTGTCCAATCGTGTACGCCATGTAAGGTGCACATGAAATTGGATCCATAATTTCTATATTATATATTCATAATTTCTATAATTTTGATACTATAAATTCATAATTTCTATACTGTAGATTCATAATTTCTAAATTGTAGATTCATAATTTCTATACTATAGATTCATAATTGCTATACTATAGATTCATAATTTCTAAACTGTATAGTTATCAAGTTATAAACATATAGTTCAGTGATTTGTGAATACAAAGTTCAATAATTGGGAATATGAACATTGAAAATTATTAATATAGAATTTTATAATTGTAAATATAGAGTTCAATAATTATGAATTTATAGTATAGAAATTATGAATCTATAGTATAAAAATTATGGATCCAATTTCGTGTGCACCATTGCACACGGTTGCACAACATAATTTGCTAGTTGAAATGGACTAATGTTACACAATAGTTATGTGTATGTGTATTATGAACATGAATTCTGTATATTATGAAGTCATATTATGTGTATTGAACTAGGGGTCAACATTGCACTGTGGACCCTGGTCCACGATATAAATTACGGATTATACACCCTTCAATCGTTATGTCATGGAACAGTGTTCACCATCCATGGTGAACACGGTCCCAAATGGTAACGGTGCCTACGGGCACCGTTATCTTCCACCAATCTTTATTTATTTATTTATTTAATTAACAACGCGACTTTTCTTCTTCATATTCACATTTTGCGGTTTCACTTTCTCTTCGCGCAAGTTTCTTCAACACTTTTAAATTGTGAATGTGCAGACATGGATTTATGAATGTGCAGTTATGAAATTATGAATTTTCTTTCATGATATTATGAATTTTCTGTTATAAGATTATAAATTTTCTGTTATGAAATTATAAATTTTCTGTTATGAAATTATGAATTTTCTGTTATAAGATTATGAATTTTCTGTTATGAGATTATGAATGTACAGAAAATTCATAATTACATAACTGTAAATTCATAATCTCATAACAGAAAATTCATAATTTAATAAATATTTTTCTTTTATGAGATTATGAATTTTCTGTTATGAAATTATGAATTTTCTGTTATGAGATTATGAATGTACAGAAAATTTATTATTTCATAACTGTAAATTCATAATCTCATAACAGAAAATTCATAATTTAATAAATGTAAATTCATAATCTGAATATAGAATGCAAAACGCCGTTAACAGCACATTAACTAAATTTAATTTTTTTTTGATAAAAACGATACCGTTTGAGATCGTGTTCACCAAACATGGTGAACACTTTTCCACAGCATAATTTGCGTACACCCTTGCGCCAAGCCACTACTAGTGCCCAACCCATCACTCATAATTCATTCTTAAGAGGAATCATAAAAAATGATATTATCTTGGACTTCTAATAATGATTGTAGCTTATTCAAGTATATTTAGGGTTTCACACTACTTTTATATGCTTTAGATGCACACTAATGGTAAATTTAGGAAAGAGAAATAACTTTCTTTTCTTTTTTTTTTTTTTTCTTTTTTTTCTTTTTAGCAATGCAGATGCTTGATTTTTTTTAATTTTTTTTTTTTTGAGTTAGACCACGATGTATCTTGAGTAGATCTTAACTGTAAGAAGCACCTTTAAGCCCGTACTATACTTAGATTAATCTCCGTTTGCACCGGGCCAGCCCGTTTAACTTAGATTAATCTCCGTTTGCACCGTACTAGTCTCATCTTGTATTTTAATTGCAAGTATAGCTAGCTTCTTCAAAAACTTTATGTTAGGTTTTGTGCTTTTGTGCACACACAAATGACATGTTGTATAAAGTGAGTTTATTTTGATCAGCTCTCACTTCTGCACCATGGAATACAATAGGTTCTTTCATCACATATCTAGCTCCCTAATTCATGTACACATTTTGATGATCATTAATACAATCTTGTAGGATTGTGTCCAGACTCTTTCCCAAACAATAAGTGGTTGAGCTTTGCAACCAAAAATAATTGGTTCTAGAGTGGTTTCCTTTATTACTTTTTTTGTCAATTAGTACTGGCTACAAAATAAAGTTATATATTTTCAAAAGTATGAGTAATATTTTTCTGGAAAATACTATTTGGACTTCACAGTTTTACTTTTTTACTCAGAATTTTTATGTTGACATTTTTTTCAAAATTTATAAAATAAAGATTACTTATCATCTCTTATCACATTAGAAAGTAAAAGTGAAAAAGTATTAAATTGTGAGTATATGTAGTAGAACTCTATATTTTTTTGGAATAAGGTTCAAATTAGCCAATGAACGTAACCTGAAAATGCAATTAGGCCACTGAACGAAAAAAAAAAAGTGCAATTAGGCCACTGAACACTCCAAATGTATGTAATTTTACCGGATAGCAGGTTACCATCAATTTTAGCAGGTTACCTGCTTACGTGGCAGCTGAGTTGACATTTTTAAATAATTTTTAATATATTTTTAAATAAATTTAATAATAAATTTTAAATTTTTAAATAAATGTTAATAATAAATTTTAAATTTTACCTGCTTACCATCGTTTTTTTTTAAAATTTTTTTAAAAAATTTATTATTAAAATTTATCAAAAATTATTAAAAATACCAATTTAGCTGTCACGTAAATAGGTAACCTGTTAAAATTGATTGTAACCTGTTATCCGGTAAAATTGCATACATTTGGAGTGTTCAATGACTTAATTACACTTTTTTTTTTTCATTCAATGGCCTAATTACATTTTCAGGTTATCTTCAGTGGCCAATCCGAACCTTATTCCTATTTTTTTTAAAGAGAAAACAAAAGAACTACTGAACATGCTCTGCATGGCAGTCTGTGAACATTGTGTAGTAATGTGGGGTCCAGTGTTTTCTTCCACGTGTCCATGTGTAAACCCTATGCCTTGTGGCCCATAAATCTTTCAATCTGCTCTGCCCATATTAGTCCCTTAGCTTTGCCACCCCAGCCAGCCATCACTGTGCTGCAAATTTCAACTTCAATCAACTCCATCACCAAATCAAAGAAACCAAGAAACAAAGAGAAAGAGAGACAACAGAATGAAGGTGAGGTTAAACAAACCTGAATTTTAGCTTTTCATCATCTTACAAGTATATTTGCTTGATATATTTTTAACTTCTCATCATCTTTCTCCTTATTAGATTTTTAATTGGGTGCATCACAAATTCTCTCATAAAGGTAATCATTCATCTAAATACATAAGTTTCCACAAGTTATATGTATGCAGTCCAATGTTACATGAGGCCCTAGGCGCTAGTCGAGCATCGGAACGCTTAGGCGTCGCCTAATTAGAAAAACAAATACTGCTCAAAATAACGTCTGAGCCGAAAAATCAATTTAAAAAAAGTTCCAGCCTACTAGTAACCGCGCCTACTGCTCTTTTGGCCCGGGTCTAGGGGCGCCTAGTGCCAGTCTGCCTAGACAGATTTTTACTACATGGTGCAATGTTACAGGAGGCGTTAGGTCCTAGTCGAACGTCGGGTTGGTTGACTCAGCCGACTAGTAATGGTGCCTACAACCCTTTTCGCCTCAGCTATAGTCTGTCAGCCTAGGCAGATTTTTACAACATTGATGTGGTAGTGTTGATTAAATAACATGTTAGCTAGTTTTGTTGACAGATGGAATATTTAGACACCCCTGTGCGAAGAAGAATGAGGTGATGATCATCAACAGCAATGAGACTAATGCTGATAGGAAGGCTCTTCTTGAGAATGCACTGTTTGGTGACAGAGAATTGTTCAATGATGAGACGTGGGAAATGGGAATTCTCGCAATTGGCACAATGGGTTTCGACCAAATGAATGAAAAACACCATCTCGGGGATGGGGAAGAATTCGAGGATGAAGAAGAAGATTTTGAGGAATACTATAGTGATAATAATGGTGATAGTGATGATGGGATTACTACCACTTACGAGGAAGAAGAAGACGAGGAGAAAGAAGAATTGAACCCATTGATGTTCAACGCCGCAATATTCAGTTGCGATGATAACCAGATGGTTAGCCTTGGAGTGAGCGATTCAGGGAACAAGAAGAGGGAGAGAATCACACTTGCAGACTTGTTCTCCGCCGACACTAACAGCAGCAGCGGCGGCCAGCAGGATGTTATACTTGTGAAATCGTCGGCCGCCGGTGATCATGCCACCGCGAAACCGCCGCCTCTCCCGGCGTCATCCCTACCCACCAAAACTGGACTATCTTTTGCCAAGAAGATAATTCCAAAGCTCGTTGGAGATCGCCGACCTCGCCGTCCTATCAATCAACTGCACCAGGTGAGCTTTGCTGCTCGCTAGCTACATAATTTTTTTTTTGATACCCTCTTAATTCTTTCTAAGATAGTATTACTAGTATGTAAAATTTATATATTTAGAAATTATACTAAAAGGTCTCGTCAAAAAGAAATTATATTAAAAGACATAAAGTACCATTAAAGATAAAAAAAGAAAAATTTAAAAATGGGTTAAAAATATTAAAGAAAATAAATAAATAAAAAAAGAGTTTGTTTGACCAATAAAAAATAAGTAGGACAAATAAAATGAGATGGGGTATTTGTTTTATATTTTTTGACCCATGAATTATTTTACTATTGAAAATTTAGCCAATGTTAACTAATTTAAAATATTTAGTCTCTTAATTGTTCAATATGTTGCACTTTCACTCAGGATGTTATATAATTATCAAACTTTGTTAGTAAACTCTTGTTTTTTAAATCGATCATTTTTGTCATTTAAAATCAATATTCATGGTTAATGTTTCATTCTCTTCATACGAATGTCATTTTTAACAGTGAATATTGATTCTAAATAATAAAAATAATATGTTAATAAAATTATATAATTTTATCACTATGAACAATTAAGGGTTAAATTAGTTTAAATTAACTTAATTACAGGAACCAAATTTTTAAAAGCAAAATAAATTAAGGGTCAAAAGTGTAATTTTTCTTTGTATCTATTTTATAAATTTTGTCTCATGTTCTTTGTTTTTTATTCCTGCCAAATTTTAATCAATTTAACACCTTGTATAAAATATTATTATTGATAATATCTTCTTTTTCCATGCTCAGACAAATCAACTACTAACATGCCATATGTACTATATCAAAAATAAAATAGCTATTAATTAAATTTAGTCTTTTCATTTTTCAAAAATTGTTATTATTTACATTTATTTTCTTTTTACTAGATCCAAAGAAATAAACTACAGACCCACCACGTACTTATATATACAATATACATAAAGGAAAATTTGTACAATCAAATTTTATACAATTGGAACTTGTTTTATGTTGTACATTTATACAATTTGAGATTGTTTTATGTTGTACTGAATTATTGAAATTTTATAAGTATAGATAAGCATAAAGTAACACTGCAAAATGACATAAGATAGGGGACAATTTGATAATTTTGTCAATTTACTTTTTTTTTTTTTTAAAGAAAAAATTATAATTTATGTCTCTCCATAATATGTCAATTATCAACGCCGCTCCTGAATTATTAGTGATGTAAATATTGTCCCTCAATTTTTAAAATGGTACATATACTGCCTCTCAATTTTCAAAACGGTACAACTTTTTTTTTTTTTTTTTTTTTTTTTTTTAAAATTATCTATTATATATTTTCTATTGTTTTCATTTTCTGGAATCTAATTTGTGTGGAATATATGCAGTTGATGACAAGGATGCTTAGAAGGAAGATCCATCCAGAGATGGAGGGCAAGAAGAGTCAGACCAAGCCTACCTCTCTCACCACCAAGTGACAAATAAATCACTCAACTTCACTTCTTCATACTCAAAGGTATATATCAATATTAGTGAAATTACTACACATTTTTATCCTTTTAATTTCTTGATAAAATTAAATAATTTGTTACTTTTAGAGAAAAATAAAACTTATATAGTAAAGATGGTATAGGAAATTAAAGCATAACTTTATAAGATAACAATATGGAGAGAAAAACAAAAATATTCTAAACGCATTAAAACATAAATAGGCCAATAATTTTTTAAAAATGTTATTTCTTATTATAAGCTGAACTCTAACTTCACTTCCTAACATAACAATAAAACTTTTTACATTTATTGAATGATCATGAATAGGTCTGCTTGTCCTCATCACAAGTTAAAATATGATTTGCATAGTAATCAAATACTGAAACATCCAATCAGATAGTGTCACATCATAAGATGAAAATTAGAAGGAAAGATAAGGAGAGATGTGTAGCATTAAAAAGTTGGGGGATAGGGGTGTTTGGTAAATAGCTGTTAGCTGATTGGGTTAATGAGTTATCATTAGTTGATTGTAAAAAAGTGTTTGGTAAATTAACGGTTAGTTGATAGCTGATTACATGTAAAATAATTTTCTCAAAAAGTTGATCGAAAAAGCTACTTTGAGCAGCTTTTTGAATTTTAGCATTTTGAAGCAATAAGTTGTTACAAAAAACTAATTAATCAAACACCCAAACAATTAATAGTGATCAAATAAGTCAAAATTGACTGATAAGCCAACTATATTACCAAAAAGGCCATTATATTCCTAGAAAGTATATATACCTTATAATAATCATTGTATACTACTATAAATCTTCTTCACTTATTTTTAGTCTTTATATCCATAAAGATTGAAATTTTTACAATGTCCATAGCTATCATATCAAGGAAAACTTTTTAGTAATGTAGAAACTACAACAATCCCACGAGTTACAACATAGTAAATTTTCATATACTTCTAAAATTTTGTTACCATTTTAATGCCACAAGTCAAAGTTTATTAAAAACCTTGTAGTACATAAACATTTTAGAGAGGTATAAGAGACCAAATTCAATTTCCAATCTCCTTAAATATATAAGAAATTACATATCAAGTATAAGTCGAATTTATATATAGTATCAAAATTTTATACCAACTCTGATAGGACATGACTCTAATATCACTTGTTAGGATCAAGTATTCACCAATCACGCCAAAAGTTAATGTAAATCATGGTAACTCAACTGAACATAGAGGCTAGATCTTTGCGTACTGTGCACAAGGAGCCCCCTCACTTTGAGAGGTTGCTTCACACTGCCGCTGGTGAGACTCGTTCCCAGGTCATTGTTCCCAAACATCACCCCTGTAACTAACTGAGCTGCCTATGCAGGTAGATTACCCATTGTTTGAAACACACTGGATGCTGAACTTAATCTTTTTATCCTTTACCAACCTTCGCCCAACAATCCGTCCAATAATCCGCCCAACAGTCCACTCAGCTACCTAGTGTTAGACTCGGCCCTTTACCTCCGCCCAACAAACGCTATAGATAAGTCTCGTGTTGAGTTTCATCAATGAAAGAGAGAAAAAATAAATAAAAAATAGGAGACAGAAGTTAATTGAAGTAGGTGATGCACCCTAGCCCTAGCCAACCTTGAATTCCACTCACAGTGTATATTCATTCATTCCCATCTATCGATCCATCATGTCTGAACCACATTTTCGGCATCTTCTTCTGATATGCTTGATTCCACCAATGCTAGACGAAGGGATAAGACAATGCATGAAGAGAGATAAGTTGCTTTCGTACCATTTTTCCAGGAGCTCTGATATTACTCTCTCCCTATTTATATGGCCCCTCTCCCATATAAAACACCAGTATCTTTCCAACTACATACAAGATAGATACATGTCCATTTATTATCATCCAATTCCAATTTCCTTCTATCATATGCTTTTTCTTCTTTAATTTAATTTGCTCCATTCCATTATTATATCATCATTTCATTTCTTACCCAAAATTCCTAGTGCAACATATACACACACTCCTTAATTTCATCTTTCTCTAATTACTAGATATTAGAAGCCATCCTAACGATCTGGACTTGATTGTCATAGTTGATATCCTCTCTGTGTTGGGTTGCCTCTTGAACGGTAGACTTACAGAGTAATGTTAGCCGTTTTGATGGCTCATACTTCACTCCCTACATGGTGTATTGGTATTTTCTAAGAAGCATTAGTACCGTGAACTAAATGTGCTATATAATGTATATCTTATATCCTATGTGACTAACAACTTCTTGTAGTTATTGAGTTCAATCAAACTACTTAATATGCCTAATCAACTTACACCACTTAATTTAAGACTCTTTACGGAAAAATCATGCATTAGTTCCATTTAAATATTAGAATTCAATTCTATTACTTTTTAATTGATGGAGCTCAAATGCCTCAAGTAAGAGATCAATACAAAATTCAAATGTCTTACTATATATATATATATATATATATATATATATATATATATATATATATATATACTTTGCTTAAGTAGCTCTCAAGCCTAATTTAACGAACATATATAATTTTCATATATATATATATATATATATATATATATATATATAGTTTAATTATAAAATTGAATTTTATCCAAATACATAGGTATATTTAAAATCTTTAAAATATATAAATGTTATTCTTTTCACATTCCAACGAGTGTTGGATTTGAAGTGAATTAATTAGTTCAAATTATAGCTAGTTAAGTGAAGCTCGAGCTTAGGAAATAGAGTTTGATCAAGTTTTTGTCTTGCTTAGGCTCGACTTGATTCAGTTATAACCCTAGCCTCGTGTAGCTTTAGTCTCGAGTTGAAGTGAATTAATAAGTTCAAATTCTAGCTAGTTAAGTGAGAGTTCAATTAGAAAATAGAGTTTGATCGATCAAGTTTTTGCTATGCTTAGACTCGACTTGGTTCAATTATAACTTTAGTCTCGAGCTAAAGTGAATTAATTAGTTCATTATTTAATATATATGTATATGTATATTAAAGTTCTGTATTGACTATATGGAAAATGATCTTTAGTTTTTTATTTATTTATTTATTTATTTTATTTTTTTTTCTTTGTTTATTCCAGCATTCAAAAGTAGAGGAGGAGAAAAATAATGACTCTTATCATTACTAAAAATTTAAATAAAAAGATATAAATAAACATGATAATGGTTATCAAATATAATAATAAAATATAATATAAAACTTCACCTAAGTTTTATCCAACTTAACAATCCCGCCTTACAAATCCCAAGTTAAAATTATATGCTGACCATATTATATATGTTGTCTCTTTTCATATCTTTCATTGCAGATTCCAATGTCCGATCTTGTTGCAGTTGGAAGCTACTTTATCATTGCTGTGTTTGTGAATCTCATCTTCTCTTCCTTTCAAATTTTATTACGGAGTCTAGTATATTATATATGCACTGTGTAAGAATTAGAAGCGTGAATTTTGTGATGCTATGGCTTTGGCCTTATTGAATTGTGTGACAAGAATTGAAGCTTTAATTTGTTGTTTATCTTACTGTTTAATGTTGGTCAAGTCGGTTATCCTGTCTTGTTGCATATGTTAAATTATTTATATCAAACTTTATCCCATTTAACATCACATACAATTATACAAAGTTAATTCATAGTGGTATAATTGAGTTTTTTGCACTTTTAGTCCCACGATTATAGTGGTATTGGCAGAATTGATCCACGACTTTTGAACCTTGCAATTTTAGTCCACGATTATTGATTTTTTTACAAAAATGGTCCTTCCGGCCACTTTTCCGTCAAAATTTCACCGGAAAAAAAAATTCTCTATTTTTAGCCGGGTTAAAATTGACATTTTACTTATCTCAAAAAATTAAAAGAAAAAAATTGATATTTGACTACATACAATATTACTGAGCTACATACTACTGCCCCAGGCGGCGGAGTTACGTTCCTGGAGCAGGCAGGGCTGTCAGTAAGCGGCGGAGCGGCCGTGGCGTTCCCCGGGCTAGTTGGGTTATCCGACAGCAACATTGGAGTGGTACATGTACTCCACCGCCTGGGGTAGTAGTATGTAGCCCAGTAATATTGTATGTAGTCAAATATCAATTTTTTCTTTTAATTTTTTGAGATAAGTAAAATGTCAATTTTAACCCGGCTAAAAATGGAGAATTTTTTTTTCCGATGAAATTTTGATGGAAAAGTGGCCGGAAGGACCATTTTTGCAACAAAATCAATAGTCGTGGACTAAAATTGCAAGGTTCAAAAGTCGTGGATCAATTCTGCCAGTGCCACTATAGTCGTGGGACTAAAAGTGCAAAAAACTCTGGTATAATTTAATGGGATGTATTCAATCTAACTTTTATAGACTTTTAAGAACTTTAAAAGTTTGAAGGTATTCAATTCAAACTTTTAGAAAGTCTTTTCAGGTAGTATTCAATCAAGATTTTTAAAAAGTCTTTAAAAGTCGGGTGGTATTCGATTAAGACTTTTAAAGAGTCTTTAAAAGTCATGCTGTATTAAAAAATGTCTGAATTTTTATAGTCTTTTTAATTTTATGACTTTTGTAGACTTTTCATTCTCAAATATAAATAGTTGAAATTCGACTCTAAATTCAAAGGTTTCATATTTTTCTTTATACAAATTCTGAATATTTTCTCTCTCTATTTGAACTCAATTTTTCTCCCTATTTAAACTCTATAAACCTAATACCTAAATTAAATAAATTATTTTTTCTTCATTGTCCTATATTTTCTTCATACCTAAACTCTATTAATTTTTTCTCTCTCCTAAACTTTACAATCTTTCTCTAAAAATTCTACAGATTATTTTTTTCTTCATTATTGCTCATATATTTTGATTTTTTTTTCTACAAACTTTTTATCCTTAACTTCCAAACTTTCTCTACAAACTTGTCTCTATAACTTCTAAACTTTATCTATGAACTCTTTCTCCCCAAATACATGAACAGAGCAAATTTTTTTTATCTATCACTGTCAAAATTTTCTATATGCATCATAATATTCATATAAATACTTGCAGATTTTGAGTTTTATTCCTTTTATGTTTATATTCGTAATATATTTTTTTTTCCTTTTTTTTTTAAAACAAAAAATTATTGCGAATAGTGAACTGCTGTTCGATGGTCCCAAATAATAGCTCTTTTGCTTGATGCATAACAATATATAAATCCGCACTACTACACAGCAGGCCTTTAACGTCGACTAAATAGCACCTTTAACGTCGGCTAAATACCAACGTTGTTTTGGGCAACGTTGTATATATTATATATAACGTCGACTATTTAAATAGTCGACGTTATATATATATATATATATATATATATATATATATATATATATATTTTAATTTAATTAATAAATATCTACAACGTCGGCTAATAGCAATTAGCCGACGTTGTAATTTTTTTAATTTTTATTTAAATAGTATACAACATCGGCTAATACGAATTAGCCGACGTTGTAACGTTTTTATTTATTTTTTTAAATAATATATAACATCGGCTAATACCAATTAGCCGACGTTGTAACGTTTTTACTTTTTATTTTTAAATAATATACAACGTCGGCTAATACGAATTAGCTGACGTTGTAACATTTTTATTTTTATTGTAAATATATTACAACGTTGTAAAATGTATATATTTTTTTAAATATATATACAACGTTGGCTAATACTAATTAGCCGACGTTGTATGTTTTTTTTTTAATATACAGTTTATTTGTCCATTTATACCCAAAAACCTGCTCAAATTACTCACAACCACATCCAAAACCTGCTCAATTTCTCACAACCACATCCAAAATCTGCTCAATTATTGCACCACAACCACAACAAAATATGTAGAATCTAATATTTATAATCAAACAAGTAATAAAAGTAATAAATCTCACTATTTGATACTAATTAATAATACAAGTTAACATTATTAAAACCTAATATCAATTTGTTCAATTTACATACTTAACCATACATCAACAAAGAAGTCGGCCCATACGTCTCTTACTTGATCAATTTCTTGTTGAGTGTAGCTCGATCCACCAACTCTCTCAACAATCTACAAAGTTGATAATTATTAAATAATTAGTAAGCTAGCATTTTTAAAATTAGAAAGAGAAATGTATTATATTAAATTACATGCCTTATCCATTCCCGCACATGCTTCTTTGGAAAGAATTTCAAGCATGTATTTCATCACATAATATCCACATGCCGTACTTTCAACTTGTTGAGCACACTACATTTGAATTAAATTACATTTAAAATTTTATTTAATAAAAAACAATAAAATATATGTAGTTTTAAAAATGTATAAAATACTTGCCAAAACTTTAGTCCATTTTGGTGAACGAGTTGATCTATTGCTTCTCAACAACTTTGCTGAATTCACACACCTAAAATTATAAGAGATTAGTATACATAAATACTTTATGACATCATGCATACTTTATTAATTATACAACATATTAATACTTATAAGTTCACATACTTTTCAACAATATCTTTGATGTCATCACGTGGCTGGCCTCCAATTGAATCAAACCAATAGATTTCATTAAGTTGAGGACAAATTGTCATCAACATCCAATGGTCACTACAAATCAATAATGTATTAGTTGTAAGTAAATATAATATATAATAGAAGTGTATTATATATAAGTTATTTTATTTGAAACAATTAAAACTTACTTTAAAATATATGGCGCTAGATAGCATTGTTTCTGTACATATTGCATGGTGACGTTGATATACCCTGTCCGTTCATCTATAGTATTCGAAACTGGTTGAATGAAATGTGGATCTAAGAAGCCATATGTGGTCTTTGATGCCAATTCAAATTTGTCATAAAGACCCCTATTCAAAAATACAATCAATCATATATATTAGTAATATAATAGATGAAATGAAAAATATTATATAAACATATATAAGTAAAGAACTTAATTATTACCTTATAAAGAACTGCAATATGGAAACATCTAACGTCTCCATCCTTAAGAAACACATAATCTCCAACGGGTCAAGTTGTAAGGGATAGTCAACATCGCCCACAATACCACGCTCCATCTTTATCACAACATTTTCATCAAGTTTGCGAACAATTTTATATATATTTAGACATTGAGGACTCAAAGAAGTCGGATCAGCTATAGTGAGATCAACAGAAGGTCGTTGCACACCGGAATCATAAGTCATTTTTAACTGTTCAATATAAGTAACAATTACTATTTTTAAAAAGTAAATTAAACACTATTTTAAAATCCAAAAATTTTGAAAATACATACCTCATCAGCTTGGGTATATGTAACACCCCAGATTTTCAAGATATTTAAAACTTATAAAATAAAGGTGAAGTCTCATTAAATCCCAATAAGAGTACGAGAGTACGGGGTGCTATGCCACACCTGAGCTAGAGAACTCAGGTGCACAGGCTAACTAACTAATGTCTCAATAATTTGAATGCATGAACATGGCACGTAGGCCGAAAGGGAAACTAACTACTTCTATGTTCCGAGCTCTAGCGCACTCCAGTGACTTATTCTTCTGTGCCTGAAAACCAAATATATCTGTTCAGCGAGAGATGCTGGTAACCCACTCCAACTCGTTGAAATACATTACATATAGAGATATATATAGATATACGAAAACCATTTTGAAGCATGAAGATATATCCTACGAGACTCTAGCTTTTAAAACCGGGAATGACTCGACAGATAAGGCTAGACACAAGCAACAGTTATAACAAGCGTATACAATCCACAACAGGCAAGACAGATAAAGCTGAGCACAATTAATAATCATAACCCAACATAAACAATCCCCAGCATAAATCCCATAGTCACATCCCCCAATAGACTCATAAACACAACTCATCCATATCTCATCACATAGCACACTTTGTTGGCACCACAGGACCAATCGCATGCCCATACATGAGGGTCAGCGCATATAGCTCTGACACGGCCCCACAGCACCCTGCCCCGTCTCACATTACGGAGGAGTCAATCGCAACCGATTGATGAACCGCAGTTCTATATAATGTTTATATACCTGACCGGTCTTTACCAGCCTGGTTAACAGTTGGGATGGTTCTCAACCCATTCAACTGCCCGTATAGTGGACCTTTGTCCTATATAATATTTATATACCTGACCGGTCTTTACCAGCCTGGTTAACAGCCGGTATGGTTCTCAGCCCATCCGACTGCCCGTATAGTGGAACTTAGTCCTATATAATATTTATATACCTGACCGGTCTCTACCAGCCTGGTTAACAGCCGGTATGGTTCTCAGCCCACCCGACTGCCCGTATAGCCCGATTGATCTCAACCAAATCGGGGTAACATGCACACATAACACATAGCAAGCACATGCAACCCACATTAACACATTGGGAAGGGGGAGAAAACGTATAACAAAACCTATGCGTGATCCTTCACATACTAAGAATAGTCCTAAGGGGTTCATACTCCTTTCACCTAGGTCAGCGGGATACC